GGAGATTGGATTTATACCCCGCCCTTCACTACCCAAAGAAGTCTCAGAGCGGCTTACAAGTTCCTTTCCCCCTCCCCACAACAGACACCCTGTGAGGTAGGTGGGGCTGAGACAGCTCTTTCAAGAACTGTCCTTGAGAGAACAGCTCTGACAGGACTATGGCTTGCCCAAGGTCATCCAGCAGGTGCAAGTGGAGGAGTGGGGAATCCAACCCGGTTCTCCCAGATTAGAGTCCGCGCACCTAACCACTACACCAAACTGGCTCTCTGTGCATGCACGAAAAAGCTTATTCCCAGAATTAAAATCTGTTGGTCTTAAAGGTGCCACTGGACTCGAACTTTGTTCTGACGGTGTTGTGTATAAGTACAATAAATGTCCAAGTCTTCCATGCGGCGAACCCAGTACTTTTCAGATAGTATATACGCCTAAGGAACAAACTAAACAATGTTGGAAGTGTATGTGTTTACAAGGTCTGCTGATTCAGTCATTATAGGGTTAACTTGTATTCCTAGTTTGCTATTGTTTAGACTGACCTGGAAGGGATACCTGGCAATGAGTCAATGGGGAATTAGCCCGGGAAAAGTAACTTCTACTTCGATGCAGATTGGTCATTTGTTTCAGGTGACTTCCTTTCGAGGGTCAAGAAGAAGGAGATAATTTCTCCATTACGTGTGTGCTTGTTTTGTCTGTAGGCAGCATAGAAATGTAGCTCTTAGTGTTATGTTGATTTGTAGTAATCCCGTGAACCCTTTACCCTTAGTAATAAAGTATTTTTAAAGGGCAAAGAACTCTCTTCTTTCCAATAGAGCAAGATCCATCAAATAGACTGAGTATTAAACAATTTTTGTACTATTTTACAACAAACAAGACCCTGGGACGTTGCTCTCTGGGACATCCCAGGGTGTCCTGGCCACCGGGTGGGAGGCAAGTCCCAGTAACCACAGGGTCTGACGGCAGGGATTCTCTGGTCACAGTCCAAAGGTCCAATAACACAATCAAAGGCAAAGCCAGGGAGGACTGTGAGGCGCTCCGGAGGGATCTGTTGAGGCTGGACGAGTGGATGCGAACGTGGCAAAATGAGGTTCAACATGGGCAAATGCAAAGTGATGCACATTGGAGCCAGAAATCCTAACTATAAATATACGTTGATGGGGTCCGAACTGGTGATAACTGACCAGAAGAGACATCTTGGAATCATGCTAGATAACTCCGTGAAAATGTGAACTCAGTGTGTGACTGCAATAAAAAAAAAAGGCAAATGCTATGCTGGGTATTATTAGGAAGGGGATTGAAAGCAAATAAGCCAGTATTGTAATGCCCCTGTATAAACTGATGGTGCAGTCTCATTTGGAATACTTTGTACAGTTCTGGTACAAAGTATTCCACCGCAAAAAAGATATTGACCGATTTCACAAAGGCAGTTGTTTCATTCTGGATCTCCCATTGGCCGCATTTTGAACCGCACCGTCCCCCGATTTCCCTCGCATCTTCTTGATCCTAAAGAATAAGGATCAAGAAGACGTGGGGGAAATCAGGGGGAGACATGGGCCAAAATGCATCTGCGCAGCAAATAGCGGGAAATTGAGCAGTAGAACCAGGGGAAACGGGAGACTGTGGGTGGGGGAAACTGTTTTTGCGGAATCAGTCATTATAATGTTGGGAAAGGTGCAAAAAAGGGCAACTAAAATGGTTAAGGGGATGGAAAACTTTCCCTTTGAAGAAAGGTTAAAGAAGTTAGGGCTCTTTAGCTTGGAGAAACGACGACTGAAGGGTGACATGATAGAGATTTACAAAATTACACATGGGACAGAGAAGGGAGAGAAAGAAGTACTTTTCTCCTTTTCTCACACTACAAGAACTCGTGGGCACTCCATGAAACGGATGAGCAGTAGGTTTAGAACAGATCAAAGGAAGTACTTCATCCAAAGAGTAATTAACAGATGGAATCCACTGCCGCAGCTACAAGCATAGACAGCTTCAAGAGAGGATTGGATAAACATATGGAGCAGAGGTCCACGAGTGGCTGTTAGCCACAAGGTATAAATGGAACATTCTGTCTGGGGCAAGTGATGCTCTGTATTCTTGGTGCTTGGGGGGGGGGAGGCTTAGCTCAGGAAGGAGGGCTCCAGAGCACACTAATTTATGCAGTAGCCAAATTGCTCGCTCACAACTTTAATGCCAGTAGCTCACAAAGTAGAATTTTTGCTCACAAGACTCCGCAGCTCAGAGGGAGCACTGGTATGAATGTATGTGATGTTAGTTGTTTATATTATAAATTTTGAATTAAATTATCTTTAGGGCTGTACATGTCCAGTTAAAGATTTTTTTTTACACAGTGTAACAGCCTTAGTGCTGTGAGCTTGTATCAAACCTGCTTTCACTGTGTTACCATTATATATTTACACATTTTCTCCAGGGGAGCTGATGTCTGTCAGCTGGAGATCAGTTGTAAACAGGTCATTTCGGGGGGGAATCGCGGGGGATCTCAGTTCCCCCGGGTGAGGTATGGGGGGCGGGGGACATGCGGACGCCTCGCATACTTATTTGTAGGATTTGGAAAGTACAGCTTAAAAAAAAAATAGGAGGGATATCAAAAAGATAATTAAAGAATTTCTGTTTTGAGTGCTGAGTCAAAAGTGATGTAAAATAGCCACTTATGTTGCTAGGTAGCATTTATTGTTTTTTGGGGTTTTTTTTTTGGTATGATGATAAAATATATCAAGTATATTAAGTGATAACATTAAGTTTATAATTTGATGAATTTCTGATAGGAAGGTGGAAGTGATTAAAACAGATGAAATAGTGCTGAAATTGATTAATGGGAAAATGGAAGCAAATGCATGAGACTTTCTGTTATGGGGGAGGTAGGGGGAGGGATTTATGTAGGAATGTGCTTTTTTGTTTTGTTTCTGGTTTTTGTCTGTCTTCTGTGTAAATTCAATAAAAAATGGTCAAAAAAAAAAAAAAAGGATGGCTTCAGAGCACACTAATTTATGCAGTAGCCAGATTGCTCGCTCACAACTTTAATGCCAGTAGCTCACAAAGTAGAATTTTTGCTCACAAGACTCCACAGCTCAGAGGGAGCACTGGTATGAATGTATTTGATGTTAGTTGTTTGTATTATAAATTTTGAATTAAATTATCTTTAGGACTGTACATGTCCAGTTAAAGATTTTTTTTTTTACACAGTGTAACAGCCTTAGTGATGCGATCTTGTATCAAACCTGCTTTCACTGTGTTACCATTATATATTTACACATTTTCTCCAGGGGAGCTGATCTCTGCCAGCTGGAGATCAGTTGTAAAAGCTGGAGATCTCCAGGCCCCACCTGGAGGCTGGCAACCCTACACAGGGGGAGGACCAAGTACTACAGCTGTGGAAGTTCTCCTTTGGATGAGATGACAATATGGAGGAAGGAGAAGCGTGACACAGTCGCGCTTCTTGCTCTTTCAGCATCGTGGTCGTGGAAGCCAGGCCAGGTGCTGGAGCTGTGAACTCTGCTGCGGGAATCCCTGGAGATAATATCTCAGCCACTCAGATCACTTATCTGAGGATGAATGAGAAGTTATTCTAGAGCGCTTGATCTTGGCAACAGGAGCTGGCTCCCTTTCAGACACATTCGGCCTTTTGTTCACCCCTCGGACATGTACATAAATCAGAGGTCAAAGTGAGTTCAGGACGAGTCTTCTCCGGATAACCGATCATTGATGTGAGGACAACTCCTCTGTCAAGGTCAGTATTGTCCACTCTGACTGACTGCAGTGCCCCAGACTCTCAAATGTCACTGACTACCAGAAGCTTTTAACTTGAGATGCCGTGGATTGAATCTGGGACGTTTGGGCATTCGAAGAAGATACCCTACGACTGAGTAGGGCTGCCAAGTGCTGGCGGTGGGCGGGTAAACCCCCGCTTTGGAGGCCCGATTTCCGCCGCCGCAGAATCGGGCCCCGGGGGGAACTCTGTCCCCCGAAGTGCAGCGTCGTTGCGTCACCAGAGGTGACGCAACCATGTCGCTCACATTGATAAGCACTTTTATATAATCATTGTCATTTTTTTGGAGTCTTACATACAATGCTTCCCCCCCACCAATTATATACTCTTATCCACCTTTTTCGGAATATTGTCTCATCTTTACCGCGTAATAACATAGTCAGTTTATCCAATTCGGCTATCTCCAGCAGTTTCTTAACTATATCGAGTCTAGAGGGTAATTTATCTGATTTCCAACATCGGGCTACCATAATTCTTGATGAAGTTAAAATATATGTTAATAAATATCTGTCTTCTCTATCTAGGTTGTCTGGAATTATATTTAACAAGTATATTTCTGGTACCAAATCCACATTAATATTCATCATTTCTAATATAATCTGTTTTATACTTTTCCAAAACTTTTGCATCCTACAACATTTCCACCACATGTGAAAAAAGTTCCTATATTATTCTTACATTTCCAGCAATTTTTTTAAGTTTGAGGTGCAAATTTTCCAGTTTTATCTGGTGACCAATACTATCTGTGAAACATCTTATATAAATTTTCTTTATATGCTGTTGAACTGAGATATCTCATAGTCTTCCATATTTTGGTCCAGTCGTCAATATCTATCGTTCATCCATGCTACCATTGAGGGTTTAACCATCTCATCTTGCAAATATCGTTCTATCAGAAAGGTATGTACTTTTTGTATTAACTTATCACTGGTTGACAACCAAATTTTATCTAGTTCATTGTTTCCCGTATAGAACCCCATTGTTTTATCTTTGCTGTATATAGATTTAAGTCGTGTACTTTCCCACCATGTTAAGTGTTTCATTGCTGTGTCCAAGTTTTTAATCTTGTCTTTTTTTATCTAGTATATTCTCGTATGTTTCTATCTTGTCTTTCGTCAGAAGGGTTGGTTTTGACTTCCTAAAGTACGCATGGAGAAATAACTTGCCCGGAAAAACCTTGGCTCTGTGTTGCCGTGAGCGCTCAAGTGATCCCGGCGTGTCTGATTACCTTTGTTGTCGTGCCAGACGCGCACCTTGCAGAGGTCCCCGAGACTGAGGATGTCTGAGTAATAGAAAACGTCCATCTGGTCCCTCTCAAACTTGTTGGACTGATTGGACTTCTTCAGAGCCAGAGTCCCCGTGTCCCCGCTCTCTCCAAAGATAATGATGAATACGTTGGCATCCGTTCCGGCACCTGCAGGGAGAGAATGAAGGGATGGAGCACCGTCATACATTCAAACGGGGCGAAGAAGGCACATAACCCACGTACAGTTTACCTGGCCCACATTCTATCCAGTTTCTCTGGCCCACATCCCGAAGGCGGATCTCAGGGCAGACATGATGTCAGCTTATTGGTTACTTTTGGGAAGAGAAGGCGGCGTGGTCTAACCCAATCTCATCTGATCTGGGAAACTAAGCAGGTTCAGTACTTCGAAGGGAGACCCCCAAGGAGACTCTATAGAGGAAGGCCACGGCAGATCATCTCTGCTTCTCCCTTGCCTTGAAAGCCTCTGGCTGGGGTCACCATAAGCAGGGGTCAATTTGTAGAAAAAGAGGTGCAGGAGCTCATTAGCATAACTCATTAGCATATGCCACAGCCCCTGACATCACCGGAAGTGTGTCAGAAGGCAACACCCACCTCTCAGGCTCCACTGGACTGTTTTGGATTGCTAGCTATTGGGGGGGGGGACGTGCAGATCTGTCCTCGCAGAGGAGGGAGAGCTTGTACTTGAAGGAGGGCCGGGGGGGGGGTGGGGGGCTCTGCAACTTACTTGGTTGCTTCTTGCTCCTCGTGGCCCGACTGAGGGCTGCTGGAGGGGGCGGGGCTTGTTGCATGTGCCCACCCCCTGGGCTCTTTACTGCCGGAGCTCCGCTCCTGTGCGCTCCCTCAGGAAATGACCCCTGACCATAAGTCTAAGCTAAACAGGGTCAGTACTTGGATGGGAGACCACCAATGAAGTCTCTGCAGAGGAAGGCCACTTCTCTGAAGAAGTGTGCGTGCACACGAAAGCTCAGATCTTGAATAAAACTTTGTTGGTCTTAAAGGTGCTACTGGACTCAACATTTGTTCCACTAGAGACGTAGTTAGGAACCTATCTCTGTCTCTCCTCTTTCTTATCAAGTATATTAATTCCTAAATAAACCTTTATCTACTCTTTAATCAGGTTGTGCACTGTTGCTCTGTTGATTACTCTGCCAGCATGGATAAGGACACAAGAGCATAAGAGAAGCCATGTTGGATCAGGCCAATGGCCCATCCAGTCCAACACTCTGTGTCATGTGCTGCCCAAAACCCAGGTGCCATCGAACCCCAGGATGTGTTACTGGTGACCGAGGTCAAGATAATCCACAGCTGAAAGTGGAGGAGTGGGGAATCAAACTCGGTTCTCCCAGATTAGAGTCCGCACACTTAACCACTACACCAAACTGGCTCTTTTGGAGGTCATTATTTCGTCGGGCCACCATAAGAAGAAGAGGAGGAGGAGGAGATTGGATTTATACCCTGCCCTTCACTCGGAGTCTCAGAGTGGCTTACACACTCCTTTCCCTTCCCCTCCCCACAACAGACCCCCTGTGAGGTAGGTGGGGCTGAGAGAGCTCTCTGGAGAACTGCTCTTGAGAGAATTTATGACTGACCCAAGGTCACACCAGCAGCTGCATGTGGAGGAGCAGGGAATCAAACCTGGTTCTCCCAGATGAGAGTTCGCACTCTTAACTACTACACCAAACTGGTGTAGCGGCTTAACGGCACTTCACACACACACAAACACACATGTTCAAATACTAAACTGCATGCTGTTTTCACATTTGAAAAGAGATCTGTCTTTGAGCATCTGTGCATATACTGTGAGGATCAGTGGGGAATAAGAAAGATGGGGCAGGGAGGGAAGGATTATGACAGTAATGATAGTGTCTCCAATGGAGACAGAGAAGCACACGAGTTGCGTGGGTAGAAAGATGAACAGTGGTGTGGAATTGCGGGCAGGCGCCCAAATTGTTTAAGAGAGCTGCCATGAAAACCTCATCCGAAGCAAAATCTGAGGCACGCTGGGAGTTCATCCTGCTAACATCCAAGGAACTGAGGAGGAAGCCAATGCAAACTTAGAAAAGACTAATGACTTGTCTCAAAGGAGTTTGAATCACGCACACACCCCTAGGCTGAGACTGCATTTCAACTAAAGTGCAATTCTAAGCAAATCTGGAGGTTTCTCTTCAGGCCAGAGTTGATGAGCTCTCTGTTGGGACTTTGCATTACCCTTAAAAACATCTTTCTTTGGACAGAAATGTTGGCTTCACTCATGCTTGCGGATGAAACCTGACCCAGATTCTTCTAGAAGTGGGAACGACATGTGAGGGCGTACCTTTCGTGTCACTGGTTTTCACCTGAACCGTGTACGTGGTATACTGCATCATCTGCTCCTCGTTAATCACTGCGGGCATCTCCCATTCCAAAGTATGGTTCTCTCCCAGCTCCAAGGACAGCCATTCGTTGTACGTAAAGGTGGTTACCTCTTGGGTCGTCAGGTTTTTCATGACGATCTAGGGAGAGTCAATTCAACAAGAAGGCAGTCCAGCAGCGATCCAAAGCATTCGGGATATTTATTAGTTACTATAGCAACATTAAGGAGCTGCGGTGGCTCAGTGGTTAAGATGCCGAACTGCTGGCTGGAAGGTCGGTAGTTCGGCAGTTCGAGACCTGAGTGCCGCATGACGGAGTGAGCTCCCGTCTCTAGTTCCAGCTCCTGCCAACCTAGCAGTTCGAAAGCAAGAAATTGCAAGTAGATAAATAGGTACCGCTTTGGTGGGAAGGTAACAGCGTTCCGTGTGCCTTGGTGTTTAGTCATGCCGGCCACATGACCACGGAAACGTCTTCGGACAGCGCTGGCTCTTCGGCTTGGAAACGGAGATGAGCACCGCAACCCTAGAGTCGGACTCGACTGGCTTTCGAGCAAGGGAAACCTTTACCTT